TAACCATAGACGGAGATAACGTGTCTCAAAATACGGTTTCAAAATACCAGTATGTCTACATTTGTGACAATCCGTCACTTCGGGATTTCAGGTTAGTACCTTATTTTAGGATCCTTGTTGAGAATTAAGTTTTTCGAGAATTTAGCTTCGATGATTAGAGATCATCTTGCTTAATTCCTAAGATTGGTTCGTTGGATCATGTTTCGGCGGGTAGTCAACAAAGTTAGATATGCAATGCCTAATAGTTTGAAATGTTCCACAATAATAAAGTCGATGTTATAGGTTTTGTATTTAAAAATTTAAAATTTCTAAAATTCCATTTTATTTGCCAAGTTTTTTTTTATTAAAGGGGTGGAGTTTTTATCTAGTTGTTTTGTTTGGTTAAATTAGTGGGGTTTTAATTTTTTTTATATTTTGGGCTTGGGCCTTTAGAGGCCAGCCCATTTCTCCTCAAAAAGCTCCCATATAAATACCCCTTCCTACTCTGAAAATTTTCATTCTCCAAACTTCCAGCATACCTGTTATCTCTCTCTCTAAACTCGACCACCTTCCAGCCGGCTCTATCTTATTGCAAATCTAAAAGGATTCTGCTGCTGTTAAGAGTTTGTTCAAAGATTTTAAGAAAAGGTATGTTTTGAGCGGTGTTATTTTCATAAGAAATTCAAAAGTTTTCATCCTTCTTCCTACTCGTTTTTTTAAGTAAATTTATGGGATTTAAAGAGGAGAGATTGATCATCAAAGACCTGCATGTGTCTTCGTTGGGATGGTAATCTGTGACCCAATGTTAGGTTTGAAAATCAGTATTAATTGTATTCGTCTTGAAAGTTAAATATTGTCTATAATTATAAAAGTCAGCGTGTTTGACTTTTCTTATAGGAGTTTCACTTTGACTTGTCTTTAGATATTTGACCATATAAATATGGTTTGTCTTTGTAATTTGTAAAGAGAGAGCTCATTTGTATATTCAATACGTAAAGAGAGGTTTGACCAGAATTGTAAAGATTGACTTTCTCTCTCAATGTTCTTGATGTTCTTGAATGCAATATTMTGATCTGCCATGATTATGAAGATTAATGAAGATTGATCAGTGAATTTAGGGACAAACAATTGGTATCAGAGCATGTGTGCAAGAGATCAGATGAAGAAATCTGAATTTTTTTTGAAGATTTTATTTTCTGAATTTTTTTTGTTCTTAGTGTTCTTCATTTTTTCTTTCTGTTTGATCCGAATTTTTTTTAAAATCTTGTGTTTTTGTGTTAAAAATAGGATCAAAATGCTCGAAATTGAATTGTGAATCTTTGTTATTCACAAAGATTTGTGATTTGATTATTCGTTTTTTAATTTTTGGTGGATTTTGTGTTTTTAAATTTTTTTCATGTTCTTGAATTTTTTTTAAAACCAGTGTTTTTGATCCATTTTTTTAAAGTTTTTTTGTTTTTGTGTTTTTGATAGGTTTTAATCTAGTTTTGAATTTTAGTTTGTTTGAATTGTGTTAAACCGTCCAAAGTCCAACCTGTTTTAAAGACTTAGTTTTTCTTTGGGCTTAAAATGCTATGAGGCCCAACAGGTTTAATCCGATCAAATCTCAGCTTCCTTGTTCATCTTGTTCTTGTCTCTAAATCGAAGGAGTCTTACAAAATTTGAGCGGATAAAGAGGTAAACCGCACAACACTTGACTGTACAAGTGAGCGGTTTAAGCTAAACCGCACACCTCTTCAGCGGATTAAGAGCTAAATCGCAGAACTCTTGAACGGATTCTAAATCGATCAACAGGTTTGATGTTTCTTTTCGATTTCATCTTATTTCAAGGTTTATTTTGAGCGGATCATCAAGTGACCGGATAAGTGACCGGATTGTAAATCGCTGAATGTTTGATCAGAGTTTAAATCGCACAGTCATCTTGTCCGGTTTACTAAATCGCTCAAGCCATTTATTCGGATTCTAAATCGCTCAGTGTTCAAGTTTACACAAATCACTTGGGGTTTGATTTCATCACACAAGGTTTGATAGGATTTGGTCTAAAATCGTTCATCCCCTGTTCAGTTTTGGTCTAAATCGTTTGCTACTGTTTCTTGATCTAATTTGGTCTGTTGGTGAGGCTGTTACCTATGTTAAGACTGTAATAGCAATTCAATTACAGCAATTTAAAATCYRGTTTTGAGTTCCATCTTGYTGTTTCTTTRAGSACTGGAATAACARCCCAAGTGGGACAAAGTGAAAAGAGTGYTGTTGCTTGATGTAAGCTRGTCAGGTTTCTGTTTCTCAAACCTTGTTACAGAAATAGAATCTGCTTGTGTTTCTGCTACTTGTTGAATTTGTTTAAGTCATAAACAGTTCTGTTTCATCAAAGGATTTGCAGGTTGTTGTTTGTTTATTAACCAAAACTGGACAGACCTGATTTTGGTTTGATATTCATTTGATTGTAGCTGTTATTTGATTTTCTACTTTTGAATTTGAATCTGAGTTCTTAACAGTTTGATTTGCAGAAGTCTGCTGGTTCTTAACAGTTTAGACTATTTTGACAGCATGCATGTCTGATTGCAATTGAGCATTGTGAATTTGAGGACTGGAACAGAAGCAGGTAAAATCTGTGTAGAAACTTTCTGCCAATAAAAACTATCTGAGCTGATTAAAGACTGTTTTGTTAAGCTGTAGTGTGTTTCTATAGCTTGATGCATTTTGATTGATCAAGCTTGATTGATGTTTGATTTGTTGTTCATCTTTTGATCTAACAAGGAACCAGGTTGCTCACTGTTAAGCATATTTTGTATTGGGTTATCTAGTTTGTTTAATTTGTATCATTTTATTTGTGACCTGTTGTTTATTGATGGGAACCAGAAGAAGTTGATGTGAATGAAAAGCTACAAGCATAGATAGAAGCTGCTGCTGGTAAAAATAAGACAGGGGAAAGAACAAACAAATGCAGGTGGATATGCCAGATGATTAAGCTGTGATTGACAGACTTTCCAACAATGCAAGCCTGTAACGCATGAAGGCTTACAGTACAACATACAGAGCATACTGTGAGAAGTGGATCCATATGAGAAGCATACAAGTGATTTTTTTTAAGTTTCACATCTGTATTGTGAAAAGCTGAGTTTGGATTTGGACAAGAATCTTTGTTCATAATTCGAACCACATCTGGCACAATTTTTTTTGGACGATTGAATTGGGCTTGAATTAGTTTGTTTTGGACTTGGACATTTTTTTTGTGGGCTTATATTTGTTATGTTTTTGGTTTTGTGTTTTGTTTGTGTTTAGATTTTATTTTTGGATTATTGTATATCTGTTTTGTGTGTCTTTTAACTGTTTGAGAATTTTTGAACTGTTCTGCGTCGCGTAAACTGTTTCTTATCTGTTTTAACTGTCTTTGACTGTTTTTAACAGTTTTCAACGGTTTTGACTGTTTTTATTGATTTTTGACAGTTTCTCATCGTTTTACTAAATTCTCATCAGTTTTAGTGTTTTTTTCTATTTTTTTGAGCTTAACTGTTCTTGTTTTTTTTATCTGATTTCACTACATAGATCCTATATCTGATCTATTTTTTTTAATGGCAGTTGTATATGAAAAGTTTAGAGGTTCAACTGGAAAAGAGCATTGAAGGTTATAAGGAGAAAGTGTTTATCAAAGTTTTAAAGAAAAATCATAAAGAAGAGTGTGAAAGAATCGAGAAGGAATTTGAGTGTAGGATTGAAACACTCGAGAACACTCTCCGCTTTGTAGAAAACGATTTTAATGATAATTTGAAGACTTGGAGTAAAGCGAATAAAGATCTTTTCAATAAACTCAAAGAGGTTAAAAGTGCATTTTTAATTGAGAAAAACTCTCCAAGGAATAATTCAGAGATAAAGAATTTCACTGAAAAGTTCCATAAGTTTGAAAATGATCTGAGTGAGTTAAAGAAATTACTGGATTTAGAGAAGGAGAGTTTGAATGTTGAGAAAGCAGAGTTTGAGAAGGAGAAGAAGAAATTCATTGGAGTTGAAAGAAAGTTTGGAGCTGAACGCATATCTTACAAAAATAAGATTAACTCTCTCGAGCTGAACGCAAAGATGCTTCTAAAGCAAATCTCCGATTTTGAGCAGCTTATTATTTTGGAACGAGCGAAGAATGCTAAAGAAAAGAAAGACATCTCCGAAGACTGTTAGAGTCAACTACAGAAATTGTCTGAAAGCATTGATCTAAAGCAACAGGCTTTAGACAATGAGAAAAAGCAGTTTGCTATTGAGAAAAGAAATACTTCAAAGAAGTATACAGCAATTGCCAAAGAGCTTACTGAGAAAAGGAAGTGGCTTGACATCGCTTCGGAGAATGACAAGAGCAGCTCAGATGAAGAGAAACGAGAGTTGATTAATCAGAGGAAAAAGTTTGAAATACTACAGAAGGAGTTAGAAGGTAAACTCCTGGATACTTCAAAGAAATTGTCTGATCTAAAGACAGACCTTGAAACTGAATTGAACATGAGAACTGAATTGAAAAAGAAATATGATTTAGCTACTGTAGAAAGAGACCAGCTTTTACAAAAAGTC